TCCGCCTCCCGGGTTCACGCCATTCTCCTGCCTCAGCCTCCCGAGTAGCTGGGACTACAGGCACCCGCCACCTCGCCCGGCTAGATTTTTGTATTTTTTAGTAGAGACGGGGTTTCACAGGGTTAGCCAGGATGGTCTTGATCTCCTGACCTCGTGATCCGCCCGTCTCGGCCTCCCAAAGTGCTGGGATTACAGGCTTGAGCCACCGCGCCCGGCCCTAAGCACAGGCTTTTTAAAAGTACTCATTGGCCGGACACAGTGGCTCATGCCTGTAACCGCAGAACTTTGGGAGGCCGAGATGGGAGAATCGTTTGAGGCCAGGAGCTCAAGACCAGCCTGGTCAACATAGCAAGACCCCATCTCTAACGAAAATTTTAAAAAGTGAAAAATTAAAAAATAAAAGTATTCATTATGTGTTGGCCAAGTGTGGTGACTCACACTTGAAAATCTAGCACCTTGGGAGGCCGAGGAGGGAGAATCACTTGAGCCTTGGAGGTCAAGGCTACAGTGAGTTGTGTTTGTGCCATTGCACTCCAGCCTGGGCCTCCCTGTCTCAGTAATAATAATAATAATTATAATCATTATGTGCCACACTGGTGCTGTCATTGAGGGCGATAAGAGGGTAGCAAGACGCAGTCACACAAAAAGGAAGATGATAGAAAAGCACATGGTGAGGAAAGCAGGTCACTTTTTTTTTTTTTTTTTTTTTTTTTGAGATGGAGTTTCGCTCCTGCTACCCAGGCTGGAGTGCAATGGCATGGTCTTGGCTCACCACAACTTCCGCCTCCTGGGTTCAAGCAATTCTCCTGCCTCAACCTCCCGAGTAGCTGGGATTACAGGCATGCACCAACCACGCCAGGCTAATTTTGTATTTTTAGTGGAGATGGGGTTTCTCCATGTTGGTCAGGTTGGTCTTGAACTCCCGACCTCAGATAATCCACCTACCTTAGCCTCCCAAAGTGTTGGGATTACAGGAGTGAGCCAATGCACTGGGCCTGCAGGTCACTTTTATCTTGGAAAATTACAGGAGGCTTCCTGGAGGAAGGAGCATTTGAAGAGGAAGGATGGGGGCAAATTCTGGGCATGAAGGAGTGATAAGGGAAAGACTATCAGGCTGAGAGCTCTGGGTGCACAAGAAGACACAGGCTGCAAAGGCCCTCAGAGGTCATCCTGCCCATCTCTCATTGTCCACCAACCTACTGATGGCTTCCAAATTTATTTATCCAGTTCTGACCTTTCCCAGACTCCAGACTCTTATTTAAACCAGTTGGATGTCAAATAGGTATCTCAAATTTAACATAGCCAAAACAGGGCTCCTGATCCCTACCATGAAACCCCAAACTGCTCCTCTTCCAGCCTTTCTCGTTTTTTGGCACTACCAACCACCAATTGCTCAGGTCCCAAATCTCAGAGTCATCCTTCCTTCCTCCCTTTCACCACACTCAATCCATGAGCATATCCCATCAGCTCTATCTGTAAAGCACACCCTGAATCCAACCACTTCTTTTTTGTTAATTTTTGATTTTTGTGAATACACAGTAGGCGTGCATGAGATGTTTTGATATAAACATGCAATGCACAATAATCACATCATGGAGAATGAGGTATCCACCCCTCAAGCATTTATCCCTGGTGTTACAAACAATACAATTACACTCTTTTAGTTCTTTCCAAGTGTACAATTAAATGTTTATTGACTATAGTCACCCTACTATATGCTATCAAATAGTAGGTCTTATTTGTTCTTTCTTTTTTTTTTTTTTTTAATCTCTTAATCATCCCCACCTTCCCCCACCCACCCCCAATCCTCTTCTTAGCCTCTGGTAATCATCCTTCTACTCTCCATCTCCATTAGTACAATTATTTTGAGTTTTAGATCCCACAAATAAGTGAAAACATGTGATGTTTGTCTTTCTGTGCCTGGCTTATTTCACTTAACATAATGATCTTCAGTTCCATCCATGTTGCAAATGACAGAATCTCATTCTTTTTATAGCTGAATAGTACTTCATTGTGCATATGTACCACATTTTCCTTATCCATTCTTCTGTTGATGGACACTTAGGTTGGTTCCACATCCTGGCTATGGTGAACAGTGCTGCAACATGAGAGTGCGGATATTTCTTCGATATACTGATTTCCTTTCTTTTGGATCTATACCCAGCAGTGGGAGTGCTGGATCATATGGTAGCTCTATTTTTAGTTTTTTGGGGAACCTCCAAACTGTTCTCCATAGTGGTTGTACTAATTTACATTCCCACCAACAGTGTTCAAGGGTTCCCTTTCTTGCACATCCTTGCCAGCATTTGTTATTGACTGTCTTTTGGGTATGAGCCATTTGAACTGGGGTGGGGTGGTATCTCATTGTAGTTTTCATTAGCATCACTCTGATGATTAATGATGTTAGCACCTTTTCATATGTCTATTTGCCATTTGTATATCTTCTTTTGAGAAATGTCTACTGGAATCTTTTGCCTCCCCTCACTTTTTTTTTTTTTTTTTTTTTTTTTTGAGACGAAGTCTCGCTCTGTCTCCCAGGCTGGAGTGCAGTGGCATGATCTGAGCTCACTGCAACCTCTGCCTCCTGGGTTCACACAATTCTCATGCCTCAGCCTCCCAAGTAGCTGGGATTACAGACACATGCCTCTCAAAGTGCTGGGATTACAGGCACCCGCTACCACACCTGGCTAATTTTTGTAGTTTTGGTAGAGACAGGGTTTCGCCATGTTGGCCAGACTGGTCTCGAATTCCTGACTTCAAGTGATCCGCCTGCCTCGGCCTCCCAAAGGTCTGGGATTACAGGCGTGAGCCACTGTGCCCAGCCTTTTTGCCCATTTTAAAATCAGATTATTAGGTTTCTTTCAGGAAAATAGGAAGAAAATTTTAAAAGAAAGATTATTAGATTTTTTTCCTATAGAGTTGTTTGACCTCCTTATATATTCTGGTTATTAATCCCTTGTCAGATGGGCTGACCTTTTCTTACCACCTCACTGCTTCCACTCTTACCGCTGAACAATCTGATCTTTTGTAAATGTCAGGCTCCCTGATTCATGGAAAAAAGGCAATGCCCTTGCAGTGGTCTGTATGATCTGGCCCTTGGTTATCTCTCTGACTTTATCCCTGACCAACTGACCATCTCTGACCCTCCTTCATTCCCTCCAGCCACACCAGCTTCCTGTCTCAAATGTTCCAGGCTCACACCTGCCCCCAGGCCTCAGCACTGGCTGTTTCCTCTGCCTGGAACGCATCTCCACCTGGCTAATTCACTGCCTTCTTCAAGACCTTGCTCAAATTTTTTTTTTTTTTTTGAGATGGAGTCTAGCTCTGTCACCCAGGATGGAGTGCAGTGGTGTGATCTCTGCTCACTGCAACGTCCACCTTCTGGGTTCCAGAGATGCTTGTGCCTCAGCTTCCCAAGTAGCTGGGACTACAGGCATGTGCCACCATGCCCTGCTAATTTTCTTTTCTTTTTTTGAGATGGAGTCTTGCTCTGTTACCCAGGCTGGAGTGCAATAGCGTGATCTTGGCTCACCGCAACCTCCGCCTCCTGGGCTCAAGCAATCCTCCTGCTTCAGCCTCCCAAGTAGCTGGGATTACAGGCATGCGCCACCATGCCCAGCAATTTTTTTGGAATTTTTAGTAGAGATGGGGTTTCATGTTGGCCAGTCTGGTCTCGAACTCCTGACCTCAGGTGATCTGCCCGCCTCGGCCTCCCAAAGTGCTGGGATTACAGGTGTGAGCCTCTGTGCCCAGCCACTAATTTTCTTTTTTTGTGTATCTATTTATAGTAGAGAAGGAGTTTAAGTTTTGCCATGTTGGCCAGGCTTATCTTGAACTCCTGGCCTCTAGTGATCTGACCACCTCAGCCTCCCAAGGTGCTGGGATTTAAAGCCATTACACCTGGCTTCAAATACCCTCTTCCTATTGAACCGACCTTGACCACCTTTTTTATTTTATTTTATTTTATTTTATTTTATTTTATTTTATTTTATTGAGACTGAGTCTCGCTCTGTCACTGAGGCTGGAGTGCAGTGGTGTGATCTTAGCTCACTGCAACCTCCACCTCCCAGGTTCAAGCAATTCTTGTGCCTCAGCCTCCTGCATAACTGGGATCACAGGTGCCTGCCACCATGCCTGGCTAATTTTTGTATTTTTAGTAGAGACGGTGTTTTGCCATGCTGGCCAGACTAGTTTCGAACTCCTGACCTCAAGTGATCCTCCCACCTCAGCCTCCCAAAGTGCTGGGATTACAGGTGTGAGCCACCGTGCCTGGGCGACCACCCTATTTTAAATTGTACCTTCTCCACCATGACCTTCTTGATTCCTCTTTTCTTGTCTTACCCCTCTTGACCCAACTTCCCTACTAAATATAAGCATTTTTGTCTGTTTTGTCCTCTTCTTTATCCCAAATGCCTAGGATAGTGTTTGAAAAGAGGTGCTGAATATTTTTTAAATGAATTTAAAAAAATCAGAGGCTGGGCACGTCAGAGTGCTCTGTTAGCCAGGCTGGAGGCCAAGGCGGGCCGATCACCTGAGGTCAGGAGTTCGAGACCAACCTGGCCAACATGGTGAAACACCGCCTCTACTAAAAATACAAAAATTAGCCGGCGTGGTGGTGGGCACCTGTAATCCCAGCTACTCGGGAGGCTGAGGCGGGAGAATCACTTGAACCCAGGAGGCGGAGGTTGCAGTGAGCTGAGACTGTACCATTGCACTCCAGCCCAGGTGACAAGAATGAAACTCCATCTCAGAAAAAAACAAAACAAATCTCTCTGTCTCTCTCCACACACACACACTCTATTGGTTCTATTTCTCTAGAGAACACTGACTAATACACCTGGGCAAGTCCATCTCATCTCTGAGCCTCAGTTTCCTCATCTGTAGTATGGGAGGGAGATTAATTAGCCGGTTCATGAGGGGTTGCCCATCTCTATTATTCTCTCTTCTTTCAAAGACTCTATAGGTTACAACCAGAGGTTTAAGCAACTAGGCAAAGCAGAAAAGATTGCAAAACACTTTATTTCCATCACATATGTTCCAAGACTTGTGTTCAGTATCCAGGAATGCGTTAAATACTAACATAGTGTTTCATTTACATGTGAGTGAAACCTGGGTGAAGAGCCAGGGTTTCTCTCCCCAGTCCCCCTTAGAGTGCTTGTCCTGGAGTCAGAGTGCAAAACACCCTCTTGAAGCAGACACCATCACTGAACTCCCACCGGGTCCTGGGCCATACTCTTCCTGCTGTTAGCCCAGGCCAAGGAGCAATGAGGGAACTGCTTAGGAGGGGTCTGAGGGTAATGGGGGCCTAGGGGCCACACACGGGTGGGTGCTACCAGGAAAGGTATAGCCTCCCTGCTGTCAGGTGCAAGCCCATCACTGCTTGAAAATAACCTTGCACAGGGTCCTTGCTCATTCTTTCCTCTTGCTTTTTGTTTATGAGATGAATGGCTCTTCCACTGTGGCTTTAGGGGCAGTGGGGAGGCAGGGAGCTATTTGGGAATAGCCTGGAGAGCTGACCCTGCAGAATCTCCCAGAAGCCTTGGTGTGGCTATGAGTACCCAGGCTGTAGAAATCCCAGATGGGCCTGTTCCAGGCCTCTCCCCAACTCCAGCCTGCAGGTTCAGCTTCTTGGCACTGAAAACACTACTAGGGGAAGCAAGAGTCCGGGCTTCTACTTGGCCTCTACCCACCAGGGCTTGGACTCTGGACCTGCCCCAGCCTGGTCAGGATTTCTGGGACCATAGGGCTCTGGCCCTGGAATCACGTAGGAGTGCAGAGAGCCCTTCTCTGATCCCAGCACACAAACCTTCTCACATCAGCCCTCAGTTTCCAGGATTTCAGCCCCTAGGATGCCTGGGCCAGGACAGGAGAAGGAGGAGCAGAGGGTGGTGTTTCGGGCTCCAAGAAAGGCTTTGTGACCTTGGCCTTGTCACTTGGCTTCCCTGAGCCTCAGTTTCCTTGTCTGAAAAAGTGGAGTGATCATCTCGATTTCTCAGGTCAACTGTGAGGTTGAAATAAGATATTGGTGGTGACAGTGGGAGGCATCATTGGTGACTTCCTTTTCCACTGTGAAATCCTGGGCCAGCTGGTCAGCCACGCAGGGCAGCACCCAGTAGCGAGGGAGGAGAGGCCCGTGTGCTAAGGTTGCTTCCTGAGCCTGAAGAAGGGGCCAACGCAGCTCCAGAGACCAGGTTAGAAGTGGACTTGAGAGAGGCGAGCAGAGGAAAGGCCAGGAGAGGGTGAGGGCTAGGATCCACACCCAGCCCTTGCCAAGCGGCCGCTGAGAGAGCAGGTTTGTGCTCCCTGATCTGCAGACATGCAAGCCCCAGGTCAGAAGAAGGGTTGTTGGGAGAGGACTTCAGCTTCCGTCTGGTGGGATGCTCCAGCTCGAGGGGCTGTGGAGGGGCAGTCTGGGCTGTGAGGCTGGGCTGGAGGGCACTGAGCTTAGAGGAAGACCCCTGCAGGCTGGAACCAGTGTGTGAGGCAAACAGGAGAGGGCTGGGGGACAGTTGGACAGGAGGTTCAGCAACCACAGTGGGGCCAAGGGACAGTGAGGGCAGAGGGGACTGGAGGAGGCTGGGGGAATCATGAGGCTGTGGACCTGGAGACAGCGGCTGAGCTGGGGAACAGGAGTCCGGGGTCTGGAACAGCTCCAGCTGCTCCTGGCAGCCATGTTGTCCCTGTGGGCCAGGGCCCAGGAGCCCCTCAGCCTGGTCCCAGCAGCCCAGGAGCCCTGGAGCTGAGCAGGAGGCACAGTCCATGGGGCACAGGTGCTCATGCACGTGCAGGGTCTGGCTCCACCACGCCAGCTCGGCCTGAAGGGCCTGGATCTCCTTCCGCAGGGCGAGGTTGTCTTTCTCCAGAGACTCGTGCTGCTGCAGAGAAGCAGATGGAAGGGGCGGGGAACCTCAGCCAGTGTCAGGAGCCCTGCATTAGCCTTGGCCCCTTCCAGGGTTCTCAACTTCAGGAGACAGATGCCACCACCATTGGAATAGCCAAGTGGGGTCTCTTGGCCCTTCTCTGGTCAGCCCTTCATAACCACCTACCAAGTCTCCCCTGTCCCACCCCCTGAGGGGGCTCAGATCCACCTGCTTTCATCCCACCGCTAGTGCCCTAGAGCCAGTGCCATTTCTCACCCGGTATCTCCATGGGCCTCCAACCCGTGTGCCCCCCAAACCACCTATTCCCTTGCCCACAGGAGCCATTCACCAACTGTGTCATTAATTGCAGGTTAAAGCCCTTTAGAGGCACCCACCAAATTCCCTGTGGTAGAATTCCAGGCCTGTGTGGTGGCCGCAGCTCAGATCTCTGGTATTCTCTCTCTCGCCTTCTTTCTTTCTCCCCTCCCTTCCTGACCCTCACATGAACTCTGCTTCCTGGCCACATTTCCTGTTTCCTCTGCCTGGACACCCTTCCACTGCCCTTCCCTGTGCAAATCCCAACAGGGCCTTCCCGTGGCAACTTTGATGTCATTCTGTCCTAGATTGCTTATTGCCAGTGCCAGATCTTTTGAGGGCCCAGAACTCGCCCCTACAAGCACTGTGGGAGGATTCAGGAGATTGTTTTACAGGTTGATAGCACGAGTGTGTTTGATTCTGCATCCCTGAATCAGCATTTATTAAGTTCTATTCCGCTGAATGCCGGTTCTGAGAACCCCTGAGACACAATCAATGTGCAGTTCTAAATAACCATTTATGATGACAATAGTGGTAAAAATGCAGAAAGAATTTTATGTCCACATCTCACACAGGGCTGAATATATTGAACAACTTCCTTCAGTCACCCCCCGCCCCCTTTTCTGGACACTTTGAAAGAAGAAGTTGCAAGGGTGTTTTGCATAAAAATGTGGTTTTGGCCCTGGACTCAAAGTTCTTTTTTTTTTTTTTGAGACGGAGTCTGGCTCTGTCGCCCAGGGTGGAGTGCAGTGGCTCGATCTCAGCTCACTGCAAGCTCCACCTCCTGGGTTCACGTCATTCTCCTGCCTCAGCCTCCTGAGTAGCCAGGATCACAGCCACCACGCCCGGCTAATATTTTGTATTTTTAGGAGAGATGGGGTTTCACCATGTTAGCCAGGATGGTCTCGATCTCCTGACCTCATGATCCGCCCACCTCGGCCTCCCAAAGTGCTGGGATTACAGGCATGAGCCACCGTGCCTGGCCCTGGACTCAAAGTTCTAACAGGCCTGAAAGCCACCAGCCCCATTCCCAGACTGGTTTCTGCACGTTGAATGATGAATTTTTTTTTTTTTTTTTTTTTTTTTTTTGATACAGAGTCTTGCTCTGTCGCCCAGGCTGGAGTGCAATGGTGCGATCTCAGCTCACTGCAACCTCCGCCTCCTGGGTTCAAATGATTCTCCTGCCTCAGCCTCCCGAGTAGCTGGGACTACAGGTGCGCACCACCATGCCCAGCTAATTTTTGTATTTTTAGTAGAGATGGGGTTTCACCATGTTGGTCAGGCTTGTCTTGAACTCCTGACCTCGTGACCGCCAGCCTCGGCCTCCCAAAGTGCTGGGATTACAGGGGCGAGCCACCGAGCACAGCTGGAATGATGGACATTTCTAAAATGTATCATTAGGTCACCCTTCACCTAAATTCTCCAAAGGCCTCAACTCACCTCCAGGAACTGAGTCACTCACTCATTCATTTATTCATTCATTTGCTACCTTCAGGAGGCTCAAGGAGTGACAATTTCAATTTCGTCCCTTTCCTCTTCCCTGTTTTAGTTTTCCTGACAGGATTTAACACCATCTGACATCCTGACCACTCGAGGGACTTTTTGTCTGTGGGTCTGGCTTACCCAGGAGAATATAAGCCCTGTGGGTGAGGCTAGGGTGGGCGTTTGTCTACTGTGTCTACAGCTCTACATCCAGTGCTTAGAACTGTGTCTGGCACACGGGAGATGCTCAATAGGCATTTCCAGAAGGAAGGAATAAACGAATGCATGGGTCTCCTAGGCACCATTCTGAGCACCAGTCCTCACTCTCACCTGGTCTACAGGTTGCTGCTCCCCACGCCTGTGCCAGCACTGTGTCATTTGTTCCCAATGTGTTTTCTTACCTTCATCCTCTGGGAAAACGCCCATTTGTTCTTAAGCTCAGGCTTCATCACCTTTTTCTTTGTTATTTTGGCCCTGGACTCAAAGTTCTTTTTTTTTTTTGAGACGGAGTCTGGCTCTGTCGCCCAGGCTGGAGTGCAGTGGCTCGATCTCGGCTCACTGCAAGCTCCACCTCCCGGGTTCACGCCGTTCTCCTGCCTCAGCCTCCTGAGTAGCCAGGATCACAGCCACCACACCTGGCTAATTTTTTGTATTTTTAGGAGAGACGGGGGTTTCACCATGTTAGCCAGGATGGTCTCGATCTCCTGACCTCATGATCCGCCCGCAGAGTCTCTCTCTGTTGCCCAGGCTGAAGTGCAGTGGCATGACCTCAGCTCATTGCAACCTCTGCCTCCCAGGTTCAAGCAATTCTCCTGCCCCAGCTACTGAGATTGGCTAATTAGCTCCCAAGTCCCTGTAATCCCAGCTACTGGGACTGCCTAATTAGCTACGTGCTTGGCTAATTTTTGTATTTTAGTAGAGATGGGGTTTCACCATGTTGGCCAGGCTGGTCTCGAACTCCTGGCCTCAAGTAATCCACCCACCTCAGCCTCCCAAAGTGCTAGGATTACAGGCGTGAGCCACTGCGCCTTGCTCATCTCCTCTTTAGACCACTCAGTGCCACTACCTATGTGCTATGGACCCTATTATGTTCCCTCCAAAAATTATATGTTGAAGCCATTATCCCCAATATGATTACATTTAGAGATAAGGTTCTTAGAAGGTGATTTAGATTAAATGAGGTCCTAGGATAGAGGATAGGGTTCTAATCTGATAGGATTGGTGTCCTTATAAGAAGAGGAAGGGAGACCAGGAGCAGTGGCTGAAGCCTGTAATCCCAGCACTTTGGGAGGCCGAGGTAGGTGGATCAATTGAATCCAGGAGTTCAAGACCAGCCTGGGTTACATGGAGAAACTCTGTCTCTACAAAAAATACAAAAATTAGCCAAGTGTGGTGGTGCATGCCTGTAGTCCCAGCCACTCGGGAGACTGAGGTGAGGAGGATCGCTTGAGCCTGGGAAGCTGAGGTTGCAGTGAGCTAAGATCGTGGACTGCACTCTAACCTGGACAACAGAGCAAGACCCTCTAAAAAAAAAAAAAAAAAAAAAAAAAGAGGAAGGGGCCAGGCATGGTAGCTCATGCCTGTAATCTCAGCACTTTGGGACATGGAGGTGGGAGGACTGCTTGAGCACAGGAGTTCAAGACCAGCCTGGGCAACATAGCAAGACCCCCATCTCTATTAAAAAATAAAGAATATGAAGACATCAAAAAGAAAGAATAAATAAATAAGAAATGAATAAACAATTAAAAAGGAGGGGGCCAGGTACGGTGGTTCACGCCTGTAATCCCAGCACTTTGGGAGGCTGAGGCGGGCAGATCACTTAAAGCCAGGAGTTTGAAACCAGCCTGGCCAACATGGTGAAACCCCACCTCTGCTGAAAAACAAAAATTAGCTGGGCGTAGTGGCGCATGCCTGTAATCCCACCTACTCAGGAAGCTGAGGCCGGAGAATCACTTGAATCCAGGAGGCAGAGGTTGTAGTGAGCCAAGTGGCGCCACTATACTCCAGTCTGGGCAACAGAGTGAGACTCTATCTCAAAAGCAACAACAACAACAAAAACCCCCAAAAGGAGAAGAAGGGAAAGAGATCACTCTGTCCTCTCATGTGCACTGGGAGGCCATAAGCACACAGTGAGAAGGCAGCCACTTACAAGTCAGGAAGAGCACCCTCACCCGGAACCGAATTGGCCGGCGCCTTGATCTTGGACTTCCCAGCCTCCAGAACTGTGAGAAATAAACGTCTGTTGTTTAAGCCACCATCTATGGTATTTTCAGATGAGCATGAAGCTCAGTAAAGGAAGCAACTTGAAACTGGGACTGGAAACCCCGCCCATTTTAACCCTGAACCACAGTTCTCACAGTATGGTCTTGGCCACCTCCTGAACTCTGACCCCTGAGTGGTTAATCACAGATCACCATGCAGGTCCTTGGGCCCCACCTGGCCTCATGAGGTGGGAGCTGACAGAGGAAGAATAATCCACTTTTTTTTTTCTTCTACAGACAGGGTCTCAATCTGTTGCCCAGGTTGGATGCAGTGGTACAATCATGGCTCACTGCAGCCTTGAACTTCTGGGCTCAAGCGATCCTCCTGTCTCAGTTTCCTGAGTAGCTGGGACTACAGGTGTGTACCACCATGCCCAGCTAACTATTTTTTAATTTTTGTAGAGACAGAGTCTCACTATATTGCCCAGACTGGTCTTGAACTCCTGGGCTCAAACAATCCTCCAGCCTCAGCCTCCCAAAGTGCTAGGATTATAGGCATGAGCCACTGTGCTCAGCCTAGAATCTGCATTTTAACCAGTGTCTCAGCTGGCCATTGTGTTGGGGTCTCCCTGTCTGCCTGCACTTCCTGTCTTCCTTGCCTTAGACTGCAGACACCTTAGGACAAGGCTGGGCTGAGGATAACCCTTTGTGTCCCTGGATCCTGGTGTGTACCTGGTACATGGTTTGTACTCAACACCCAGAACTTTCCAAATCTCAGCCACAGGACCCTTTCCGCATCCCAAACCCAGGTGACCTAGAAAAATACAGGAGTTTGGGGAAAGTCTGCTCACAGGTGGGGTGGAGAAGAGGTGACTGGGCCGGTGAATGGAGTCAGAGACAAGGAAAAGGGTTGTCCGCACCTGGTGTAGGGCGTCTGCCTTGTCTGTGTGCTTCTGCCGGCTTCGCTGGGCAGCTGCCCGGTTCTTCTGCTTCTTCAGCTGCCTTTGTTGCTCCTCGGGGTCCTGAGGGGCATGAGGCAGAGGACTCAGGGGGCGTGGTCAGGCCTTGTGCCCTCCATCCTAGCCCGCCATTTGTAAAGCCAAGTCTTTCCCCTTGAGTCAAGCTCCCAAGGGTCTTTGTTCTCCCAGAAGCTCCCTTGGCACCCCTATAGCAGGCACTGCACACCGTGTTGGAATGCCAGCCTCACCCAGTGTCCTGCTCACAGCTCACGTGGAGGGTGGGAGGGCAAGCAGGGAAGATGGGAAGCCTGAGAGTCAAACTCAGACAGAGCTGACTTCAAACCCCACATTCTTTTTTCTGTTTTTTTTAAGACAGAGTCTCGCTCTATTGCCCAGGTTGTAGTAGTACAGCGGCACAACCCTGGCTCACTGCAACCTCTGACTCCCGGGTTCGAGCAATTCTCCTGCCTTAGCCTCCCAAGTAGCTGGGACTACAGGTGCCTGCCACCATGCCTGGCTAATTTTTGTATTTTTAGTAGAGATGGGGTTTCATCCTGTTGGCCAGGCTCATCTCAAACTGATCTCGAGCTCCTGACCTCAGGTGATTCACCAGCCTCGGCCTCCCAAAATGCTGGGATTACAGGTGTGAGCCACTGCACCCAGACAAGCCCCACATTATTATTATTATTTTTTTTTTTTTTTTGAGACGGAGTCTCGCTCTGTCACCCAGGCTGGAGTGCAGTGGCCCGCTCTCTGCTCACTGCAAGCTCCGCCTCCCGGGTTCGCGCAATTCTCCTGCCTCAGCCTCCCGAGCAGCTGGGACTACAGGCGCCCGCCACCTCGCCCGGCTTATTTTTTTTTTGTATTTTTAGTAGAGACGGGGTTTCACCATGTTAGCCAGGATGGTCTCGATCTCCTGACCTCGTGATCCGCCCGTCTCGGCCTCCCAAAGTGCTGGGATTACAGGCTTGAGCCACCGCGCCCGGCACAAGCCCCACATTATTGAACCCAATTGCCCCATCCCTGCAATGGAAGCACCACAGCAGAGGGGTAAAGCCCATGCGGCAGGCAGCCCAGAGCCAGCGTGGCATAAAGCTCAGCTTCCATTCTTCTCACTGCCATGATTTCCACACCAAGGTGTGAATTTTCCTGTGAGCTCCATGAGGGCAGATGTTCCCTGTGCCTAGCTCCGCTCAAGCCCAAAGCAGATATTCACTTACTCAACAAACATGTATAAGGCTCCTACTATGTTCCAGGCAGTAAGCTAGGGGGACACAATAACAAACAAAATACACACAAATCCCTGCCCTCAAATTGCTCACATTGTAGTGGGGTGGTAGCGAAGGATGAATGAATGAAGGGTTTACTCTGGTGGAAGAGTGGACTCAAAGATTGACAGTTGTGACCACCTTGTACCCTGGGGTGAATGAAACTTAGATAAAATATTTTACCCAAATGTCCAGAGCTCTGCAAAGTCAGAGCAAGAGGGACTGTTGGAGAGCTCACAGCCCAGCCCTCTCCCGCAAGTCTCTCTGGGGCATGTGTTTTGAGGGTAAGGACCTCAGGCAAGGCCCTGGCCGCCCCGGCCGCAGATTCTTTTTTTTTTTTTTTTTTTTTTTTTTGTGGCGCCCAGCCGCAGATCTTTTTTTTTTTTTTTTTTTTTTTTTTTTGAGATGAGTCTTGCTCTGCCGCCCAGGCTGGAGTGCAGGCTAGATCTCGGCTCACTGCAGCCTCGCCCCGGTTCACATTCTTCTTGCCTCAGCCTCCCGAGTAGCTGGGACTACAGGCACCCGCCACCTCGCCCAAGCAGTTTTTTTTGTAACAGGAGAGACGGTTTCACCTAAGACAGATGCCTAATGCCTGACTGTGACTCTATCTCTGCCTCACCAGTAGCATGGGATGCAGCGAGACTCGCTTCAGTCGATTCTAATGCCATTGCCAGCTTCGCCTGCTTTTGCAAAAAGCCTCGGGTTGTGTCCAGGCTGCTGCATAGTTCCAAGAGATTTAAGCTGAGAAGAGAACGCTGAGAGGAATGGCTGTGAGAGGCAGCCAGGGAATGTAGCCAGAAGCATGATGCATTTTGATATTTTGATTATTTATTTTTAGAGTCTCTGTCGCTTAGGCGGAGGTGAATAATTGCCACGTCAGCTGGGAAGTCGCGGTTATATCACTCGCCTCGAGATGTGGGATGAGCATAGTCATCGCCAGCTATTTTTTGATTTTAGACGTTGTTTGCATATCAGAGGTCTGATCCCAATGAGGATCGATTGGGCCCAGCACCAGCATGCAGGTAGGCACCTGATGCCTGGATGATGATAGGACAGACAATTGCTTCTGCCGCTGGCGTTGTTTTTTTTTTTTTTTTTGAGACGGAGTCTTGCTCTGTCGCCCAGGCTGGAGTGCAGTGGCCAGATCTCGGCTCACTGCAAGCTCCGCCTCCCGGGTTCACGCCATTCTCCTGCCTCAGCCTCCCGAGTAGCTGGGACTACAGGCACCCGCCACCTCGCCCGGCTAGTTTTTTGTAATATTTAGTAGAGACGGGGTTTCACCGTGTTAGCCAGGATGGTCTCGATCTCCTGACCTCGTGATCCACCCGTCTCCGCCTCCCAAAGTGCTGGGATTACAGGCTTGAGCCACCGCGCCCGGCCCGGCCGCAGATTCTGAATGCTCCTAGGCTCCTGCCACAGCTCCACCCTGGCCATATGCTCCCTGGGGCCATGTCCACGGCAGGCTCACTGTAACACTGGGGCACCAAGAGACTAAAGGCTGAGACAGGACCCACGGAGAGTGAATGGGGCTCCTGTGAGATGGGCAGAGCCTCCAAGGGAAACCATGGCCCAGGGAATATTTTTATTTTATTTTATTAATTTAATTTAATTTAATTTAATTTATTTTAGAGACAGAGTCTCTCTCTGTCACCCAGGCTAGAGTGCAGTGGCACGATCTCGGCTCACTGCAACCTCCGCCTCCCAGGTTCAAGCGATTCTCCTGCCTCAGCCTCCTGAGTAGCTGGGATTACAGGCATGTACCACCACGCCCAGCTAATTTTTGTACTTTTAGTAGAGACGGGGTTTCACCATGTTGACCAGGATGGTCTCGATCTCCTGAACTCAGGTGATCTGTCCGCCTCAGCCTCCCAAAGTGCTGGGATTACAGGTGTGAGCCACCGAGCCTGGCCTATTTTATTTTATTGAGACAGAATCTCTCTCTGTCGCCCATGCTGGAGTGCAGTGGCAGAATCTCAGCTCACTGCAACCTCCATCTCCCGGGTTCAAGCAGTTCTCCTGCCTCAGCCTCTCGAGTAGCTGAGACTACAGACGTGCCCTGCCAAACCCGGCTAATTTTTGTATTTTCAGTAGAGACGGGGTTTTGCCGTGTTGCCCAGGATGATCTTGAACTCCTGGCCTCATGTTATCTGTCTGCCTCGGCCTCCCAAGGGGCTGGGATTACAGGCGTGAGCCACCACGGCCAGCCGGCCTGGGTTATATGGAGAAGGAAGGAAAGGCTGCTGTGAGGGTAGTGAGGGGGGACCAGGTACGTTAGGGGAGAGCAAGTACACAGAGGTCAAGTTCTAAACCGAAGGCTGGACCTGCAATGTGAGAGCTGAAAACAACTCATTCCAATCCCGACTTCAGGGGAGGAAAGTGAGGCCCAGAGAGGGGCATGCAGAGCTGTCTGTCACACTGCTAAGAGTATAGAGCTGGGACTAGGAGCTCCTGACTGCAGCCCTCACTGTCTGGGCACTGAGAACCCTTGGGATGCTCCCCTTCTCATCCCCGATCCCCAATCCCCTGTACTCACTGTCCCGGTCAGCAGCCCACTGCCCCTACAGAGGTGCATGGCTTGGGCGGGGAAGCAGAGTCGTCCCTCAGCAGCTGTGACTTCTCAGTGCCCTCTGGAGGCCTAAGGAAGTGGTGGCTCTTTAAATCCCCAGTGGCCACTCCGCCCCCAAAGGGCCAAGTTTCAGTTTCTCCTAAAGCCACCAGTTGCTCAGAATCCCTGGCTCAGGCTTGTTCACGTGGCTAGAATTTCCTAACATGAACTGGTCTTCCGGTTGGGCCCCTTCTCTGGAAAGAGGATGGTGGAGGGTGGAGAGGAGGGAAGACCAAAGGCCAGGTGTGAGGAGGGTGTTCCGGGTAAGGGAGGGCAGGCGGCCAGGGACTGAGATGAGAGGAGAAGCCAGTGGGGACTGAGGCTCATGTGGGGTAGAGAGCCCTTGAGCTCTGGAATTGGGGGAACTGGATCACAGCCCACATTGGAGCTGTCCAGCTTTCAGAAAGTGACTCTCCTTCTCTGAGCCCTAGTTTTCTCATCCATAAGGGTATGGGCTGCAGGATGGTACAACTACCCACTCCCAGGTTCATTACAGGAACTAAGCCAGATAATACAACCACCCCCAACCTTCTGAGACCACTATGGAAGCATGTCTGCAAAAATAAGCAATGGCCGTTGGATAGAACAGATGGATACATTACTGTTTTCACACAACAGACTGCGTAGCAGTGGAAAGATTGATGTCCAGTGGTTAGGAGCCCAACTTCCAAGCTACGTGACTTGGGTTCATAATTTCATCTGTGTTTCTGTTTCCAAATCTGTAAAGTGGGGATAAAAACAATTTTATTAGGCCAGATGCAGTGGTTCATGCCTGTAATCCAAGTACTCTGGGAGGCCAAGGCAGGAGGATCACTTGAGCTCAGGAGTTTGAGACCAGCCTGGACAACACAGCAAGACCTTATCTCTACTAAAACAACAAAAAAAATTAGCTGGGCATGGTGGCACACACTTGTATTCCCAGTTACTCAGGAGGCTGAGATGGGAGGTCACTTGAGCCCAGGAGTTCAAGGCTGCAGTGAGTGCCCATTGCACTCCAGCCTGGGCAATACAAGACCTTGTTTCAAAAAATTAATTAATTAAAAATTAAAAAATAAAGACCTAGCAAACCCTGAAGCCCCAGGCATATCTGCATGGTTGCTGTATCTCTAAGAGGGACCACACTTGGATGGGGCATCTGTTTGGGGGCCAGAGAGGCCAGTAATTCCTGTCCAAGAACAGCATGCATGCAGTCTGTAGAGTCCTATGGTCTGGTGACTAGAGCGTCTTGGGGTTGTACCTGAGACCTGAGGGTTCATGGCTGATGATGTGGGGTCACAAGAATGGCAAATACAGGTATGATCTTCTGATAGGTGATGGTGGCTGGAATGTTGTTTTAAAGAGTCATGGACACCTCTGAGCTTAGTAAAAAAGAGTACTGCAGTTGATTAGCAATGTCTAATAAAAAAATAAAAATAAAATAAAATAAAATAAAAGATTAGCAATGTCTGCCACACCATGATCGATTAGTGATGTCTGTCATGGGCAGCGATGTGGAGAGTGCAGTCCCCTGCTGTCCTTAGAACCAGGCATAAAGCAAGTCTGGGTTTCAGAGTCAAAAGACTTGACTCTCAGTCCTGGCACTCCACTCACCCAGTTTATCACCTGGAGCCTCAGTGTCTTCAAATATATGCTGGCAATTACAAAGAAATGATACCTATTTGACAGTTGTTTTGAAGATGGGAAAGAATGAAATGAGAAGAAAGTTCTTGGGATATTGTAAAGTACTATGTGGCAAGGAATCCCCCTCCTGAGATTTGTGGTGTCATATTCTGGATTCTAAGATTATTAATGCAGGCTCCTAATTTAAAATGCCTGGGTGGGTGGGATTGGGCATAACAGCTGGGCCTTGCCCTCCTAGTTTCTGAGGGGCCTGGGGGCAGAGGCTGAAGTGGGATGCCCCACGCAGTGAGGCCATCCCTGTTTCTCTGAATTATTATTTCCCAGAAACCAGGAAGGCTGGGGCATCTTGCCTGAGGCAGGCACCTGAAGGGCTCATTAAGCCAGCCTATGAACTCCCCTGGGAGGATCTGCAGGTGCCTTATGCATGATGTGACTAAGAAGAAACACCCACGCGTGCGCGTGTGTGTGTGTGTGTGTAGGGGCTAGTGTCCCCACTCCAGATCCCAGCCCCCACCCCGGACCCCTAATCTTTCTTCTCCAGACCTCAGCTTCTGACAGAGGTGAGACAGCAGGTATAGCTCTTCCCAGAACACCACAGCCCTGGGAGAAGACCAAAGAAGGCAGCATTTATGGCTTCCTAAGGAGGCGGCTGGGAGAGGGAGTGGCAGGGAGGGAGGGAAGGAGGGGGAGTGGGTAATGTTTAACTAGGAATGGCTGTGGGAGACTTCTCCCAGGCTGGTGGGACCATCCAATCTGACCTTGCCTTAGACGGTGTCTCAGTCAGCTCAGGCTGCTATAATGCAATACCAGAAACTGGGTGGCTTAATGACACTTTTATTTCTCACAGTTCTGAGGGCTGAGAAATCCAAGAGCAAGGTACTGGTAGGTTTAGCTCCTGGCAAGGCCTCTTCCTGGCTGGAAGATGGTGGCACTCCTGCCGTGTTCTCAGATAGTCTGTCTGCCTTCTTATAAAGACACTCATCCCATGGTAGGGTCCTACCCTCACGACCTTCTCTCAGCCAATTACCTCCTGAAGGCCCCACCTCCAAATACCATCTTACCAAGGGTTGCCACTTCAGTGTGTGAGTTTGCGGGGGACACAAACTTTCAGTCCATAAAAAGAGGGTGAGGAAACTAATGCCCAGAGGGGCAAGGTCACCCCACAGGAGGGGCAGAGCTGCAGGGAGAACACAACCTCTCTCTTCCAGGCCTCAGTCCTGCTCCACACCCTGCTTGGAAAGGCCTGGTCCATTAGTCCAGAGCCAGCAGCCCCAGTGGGTGGAGGGTTGGAGGCCTCCCAAATACCACACCTACCAATGAGCTCCTGCATGGCAGGACTGGTTCTTTGAAGGGTCCTCAGTGCTTCAAACACTGCCTTCACATAATAGACGCTCAATTAATGAATTAATGAGTTAAAGTCCAGCAGGCAGCTTGCCACCCAGGAACCCCAAAACTTTTCTGAGGAAAGAAACTTTTCGCTCATTCCCACAGGGCCTGCTCTGGGTTCCTGGTGGGCTCTCCTCAACCAACTTCATCATTTTACCAGTGAAGAAACTGAGGTAGAGGGAAGAGAAAGTCACACCACTGTTTGGGAGAAGCCAGGATGCATTGAAGCCCTGTGCCCCCACTTTTTTTTTTTTTTGAAACAGAGTCCCACTATGTCACCCAGGCTACAGTGCAGTGGTACAATCTTGGTCACTGTGTCCAGCCCCTACCCTGTCCCAATTCTTTCCCACACTTCCTGGGGTTAGACAGACGGTCAGATCTCCAGCTGCTGAAGATGAGGACCCTTCAGTCTAGGTCCTTCCACCATGTGCATCCCTCATATTAGGGATTAGGTCGTATTAGGCATGGCCTCCTCAGGGCACCTCCAGAGAGCTACAGATGAAAGCAGAAAAAGAGGCCAGTAAGTTGCTGGCAGGGCTGACTGGCTACTGACTTCCCATCCACACCTCAGTGCGAGCCAAGCCTCAGCTGGGAGGAGTTTACAATCCAAGGGTGTGTGGGACACGCCTGTTGAGGAAGGCACTTCCTGTCATAGAACTTCCCACTGGGGAGGTCACTTTCTGCTGGAGAGGTCAGGGAAGGATTTCCAGAGCAGGAGCTCTTTTGAAGGGACATTGAAGGATGGGCAGGCTCTATCCTAAGACCTGGAACTTGTTCTTGGGCAAGGTTACTTAACAAACCTCTTTATACCTCATCTGTAAAATGGGGATGATATGTTATGGTGGTTGTCTTTATGGCAAAGAGAAACATACAATTTTGTGGGGTTTTTTGTTTGTTTTTGTTGTTTTGAGATGGAGTCTCTGTCGCCCAGGCTGGAGTGCAGTGGCGCGATCTCGGCTCACTGTAAGCTCCGCCTCCCGGGTTCACACTATTCTCCTGCCTCAGCCTCCCGAGTAGCTAGGACTACAGGTGCCCGCCACCACGCCCGGCTAATATTTTGTATTTTTAGTAGAGATGGGGTTTCACCGTGTTAGCCAGGATGGTCTCGACCTCCTGACCTCGTGATCCGCCTGCCTCAGCCTCCCAAAGTGCTGGGATTACAGGCGTGAGCCACCGCGCTCACCTTGTTTTTTTATTTTATTTTTATTTTATTTTTTTTTTTGAGATGGAGTTTCACTCTTGTTGCCCAGGCTGGAGTGCAATGGCACGATCTCGGCTCACCGCAACCTCTGCCTCCCAGGTTCAAGCAATTCTCCTGCCTCAGCCTCCGTAGTAGCTGGGATTATAGGCATGTGCCACCACGCCCGGCTAATTTTGTATTTTTAGTAGAGACAGGGTTTCTCCATGTTGGTCAGGCTGGTCTCGAACTCTCGACCTCAGGTGATCCACCCACCTCGGCCTCCCAAAGTGCTGGGATTACAGGCGTGAGCCACCGCACCCGGCTTTTTTTTTTTTTTTTTAGACGGAGTCTTGCTCTGTCTCCCAGGCTGGAGTGAGGTGATGTGATCTCAGCTCACTGCAACCTCCACCTCCTGGGTTCAAGTGATTCTCCTGCCTCAACCTCCCAAGTAGCTGGGATTACAGGTGCAAGCCACCATGCCCAGCTGATTTTTATATTTTTAGTAGAGATGGGGTTTCACCATGTTGGCCTGGCTGGTCTCGAACTCCTGACCTTAGGTGATCTGCCAACCTCAGCCTCCCAAAGTGCTGGGATTATAGGCATGAGCCACCATGCTTGGCCAATGAGGATAATAATAGAAGGATTTAAGTAATTCGTGTAAAGGGCTTAGAACAGTGCACAGCCCACAGTTAAATCACATAAACATCTGTTAAACTTAACAAAGGCACTCAATACACATCTGATTAATTTTTATTCATGTAACAACAGGCTTGTATTTTGTCCTTCCCTCCTTCCCTCCCTCCCTCCCTCCCTCTCTCCCTCTCTCTCTCTCTCTTTCTGATGGAGTCTCGCTCTGTCGCCCAGGCTGGAGTGCAGTGGCACGATCTCAGCTCACTGTAACCTCCACCTCCCAGGTTCAAGCGATTCTCCTGGCTCAGCCTCCTAAGTAGCCGGGACTACAGGCACGCACCACCACACCCAGCAAAACTTTTGTATTTTTAGCAGAGACGGGTTTTCACCATGTTGACCAGGCTAGTCTCAAACTCCTGGCCTCAAGTGATCCACCTGCCTCTGCCTCCCAAAGTGCTGGGATTACAGGCATAAGCCACCACACCCAGCCTTTTTTAAAAATTTTTTTGAGACAGGATTTTGCTCTTGTCACCCAGGCTGGAGTACAGTGGCGCAACCTTGGCTCACTGCAAACTCCACCTCCTGGGTTCAAGCAATTCTTCTGCCTCAGCCTCCTGAGTAGCTGGGATTACATACGTACACCACCACGTCCCGCTAATTTTTGTATTGTTAGTAAAGACAGGGTTTCACCACTTTGGCCAAGCTGGT